AAGGGGAAAGCCCCCATGCAGCTGACCCGCGGGTCAGCTGTCCAGCTGCTGCCTTGGAGTTTCAAAGTGGCAGCGCCGCTATGCAGCACTGCCACTTTGAAGTACTCCTTCCCTCCCTTTTGCTGCCTCTATCTCATAAAGGCAGCAAGGGGAGAGGGGGATATTGACTAGTCAAAAGACTATCCGATAAGCAAATGCTTATCAGGTAGTCGACTAGTCTTTAACATCCCTAAAGTAAATAAGGCTTAATGCAAGAGACCACCAGTATGCATTTGCTGCAGAACTGAGGTCTAACTTGCTCAGTTTAAAACACTGATTTTTTTTCAGACAACCCAAATATCAGATAGCAGCTGAGAGTCAAACCGTTTTCTTTCTAGCTTATGCAAGATCAGTAATCAGATTCCACTATTTGTATTTAGTTACTTCTGTTGATAATGCAAAGGTCAGAATGGACCCAAACACAGTATCTCATAGCTGTATTTATCGGATCTGTGGGGCTATTTGATGTATAAAGCATACTTTTGTAATGAATGCAAGCGGATATAACTCAGAATATACAAAGCAGATCTGTTTAGTAAAAATGATTTTAGAAAAGTGATTTTCTTCATCATCTATGCAATTTAAAACAGAAAATATAAATGCTGGATTTTGATTCAACATGAGCATGAAATACTATCCTATAATATATGCATTCTTTTAAGGACTTTTAAAAAAACAAAACAAACAAGCAATATGTAACTACTTACTTCCTTAGAGAATCAATGATATCCATTGAAAAATTCTCATCCCAGCCACAGTCCAATAAAAAACGAAACTCGTCTACCTGCAGCAGATAGCATAGAGCAGATTCCTCCTGCACTCCTGAGAGTGTAGTCAACTTGATAATGGATGTCATTTTTCTGTCCAAATATTTGCCTACCAAAACAATATTTTAAAAAGAAAAAAATGTAAACACCTAATACAAAGTAGTTTAGATATTTTGACCAACCATTATTTTATAATTTGTGTAAACATATGCACATCAGTAATAATTTTATTACTAGATAATACTTCAAGTTATCAATTACCAGAAATTCTACTGACACTATTATTTAAGCTGTTATAAGGTAAATACAATCACAGATTGTATTTGTATTTAATATTGTTCTTAAATTGAAATTGTTTTCAGGTATTTCCCTATAATCTAACACATTTTTATTAATGTAAACCATCAAAAAAGTTGCAAGACAATGTATGGCAATTTTCTATTTAAAAGGGATTGTTCATTAAAATGGTTGGGGATAGGCAAACATAAAGAAGTTACACCGAAGATGAAGAGAAAGGCAGACTAACAAGAAACAGGAAAACCTTGAGAAACTAGAACACAGAAGTGTAGGACCGGAAAGGACCTCAGTAGATCATCTAGTCCAGTCCCTTGCACTCAACGAGAATAAGCAATAACTAGATTATTCCTAACACATACAGTAAAACCTGTGTTATTCGGCACGCTCAGGGATTAGGGTGTTCCAGTTATCTAAAAATTCCGGTTATCTGAGGGTCCCATCAACCTAGGAAAAATCAATGGACAATAATAGTAAAACTCAAGTTTTTAATATTAGTAGTTTTGTAGTGTGAGGCAGTTGGTCTCACACTTCTATTTTGAGTTAAAGATGATTAGTACTTCTTCAATAAATTGTTAAGCCAATCCTGGTAAACCAAGTCAGGCCTGTGCGCCTGAAGATGTGACAGTATTGTGGCTGGGGGCAATGCCAGTTAACAAAGTTTTCAGGTTAAGAGTGCTGGATAACAAAGCTTTCACTGTATTTGTCTAATCCAGTGGTCCCCAACGCAGTGCCTGGGCATTTATGTGCACCCACCTGGTTACCCGGGCCAGCCCGAGCCATACTTGCGCTCCCGGCGTATGTGCGGCTCCCACCCTTGGCACGCGGCACACGTGTGGTGCTGCTCCCAGGCGCGCGGCACATGCGCGGTGCTGCCCCCGGGCACGTGGCGCATGCGTGGCCCCATCCCCGGGCGCCCGGCAGACCCAAAAGGTTGGGGACCACTGGTCTAATCCAATGGTTCTCAAACGTCATTGCACTACAATCCCTTCTGACAATAAAAATTACTACACAAAAGAGGAAGGGTAATTGAAGTCCAAGCCTAGCTCTGCCACCCCAGGGCTGAAGCCTGAGCCCAGCCACCCTGTGAAGGGAAACTGTAACCTGAGCTTTGCTGCCCAAGCCTGAGCACTGCTGCTGAGAATTTCAGCTTTAGCCAGACCCAGCAAGTGGGAACCTCATTAACACAGATGTCATGACCTAGTTTGAGAACCATTGGACCTATTCTTAAAAGCCTTCAATGATGGGGATTCTGCAACCTTCCTACGTATTTCAGTGTTAGCTAACCTGTTAGGAAGTTTTTCCTCATGTCCAACCTAAGCCTCCTTTGCCGCAATTTAAGTCCATTGTTTCTTGTCCTAGCCTCAAAAGTTAATGACAACTTTTCTCCCTTCGCTTGTTTCAAATTTTTATATCCCTTCCCTCCATTGTCTCTTCTCCAAACTAAAGAAACCAATTTTTTAACCTTTCCTCATATATGTTTTGTTGATCTCGTCTGGATTTTTTTTCTTCGGTTTCCTAAAATATGGCACTCAGAACTGGACCCAGAATTCCAGTTGAGACCGTATCTGCAGAGTGGAAGAATTACTTGTGTCTTGCTTACAAAAAAGCTTACAATTAAATATTTACTTAATATAACTTTGAAAACTTACTATGCAAAAGAAAAATGTTTTTAACCATCTTAATTTAAACGAAACAAGCACAGAAAGAGTACTTTGTCAAATCCTTTAAAACTTTCCCTTTATATTTTTAGTAGTTTATGTTTGTTACTGTACCATACTTTTGTTTTTTTGGTCTCTACTGCTGCCTAATTGCATATTTCTAGTTCCAAATGAGGTGTGGGGTTGACCAGTCAGTTCATAACTCTAAGCCTGAACAAATGAGGTGTGGGGTTGACCAGTCAGTTCATAACTCTGGTGTTCATAAGCCTGAGGTTCTACTGTAATCCTATCCTTCAAGCAGCTCCTCCCAGCTTGGTATCAACTACAAACTGTGTTAAGTGCATGTTCTATGCAATTATCCTAGAATCCTTGGGCTGGAAGAGACCTCAGGAGTCACTGAGTCCAGTCCCCTGCACAAAGTAGGACCAACCCTAACTAAATCATCCCAGCCAGGGCCTTGTCAAGCTGGGACTTAAAAACTTCTAGGAATGGAGATTCCACCACCTCCTTAGGTAACTCATTCCAGTACTTCACCACCCTCCTAGTGAAATAGTTTTTCCTAATAACCTACCTGGACCTCCTCCACTGTAACTTGAGACCATTGCTCCTTGTTTTGCCATATGTCACTACTGAGAACAGCCTCTCTCCATCCTCTTTAGAACCTCCCTTCAGGAAGCTGAAGGCTGCTATCAAATCCCCCCTCACTCTTCTCTTCTGCAGACTAAATAAGCCCAAATTCCTCATTCCAAATTTCTTTCCCATGTGATCATTTTGGTTGCCTTCTGCTGGACCCTCTCCAATGCATCCACATCCTTTCTATATTGGGGGTCCCAGAACTGGACGTAATACTCCAGATGTGGCCTCACCAATGTCAAATAAAGGGGAACAATTTCTCTAGATCTGCTGGAAATGCTCCTCCTAATGCACCCCAATATGCCATTAGCCTTCTTGGCTACAAGGGCACACTACTGACTCATATGCAGCTTTTCATCCACTGTAATCCCCAGGTCCTTTTCTGCTGAACTACTACTTAGCCAGTCGGTCCCCAGCCTGTAACAGTGCTTGGGATTCTTCTCTCCCAAGTGCAGGACTCTGCACTTGTCCTTGTTGAACCTCAACAGATTTCTTTTGGCCCAATCCTCCAATTTGTCTACGTCACTCTGGACCCTATCTCTACCCTCCAAAGTAGCTACCTCTCCTCCTAGCTTACCTAAAAGGTTTTAGTAGATATTGTCCAGAACTGGATCTAGCATTGATACCTGCAGGACACCACTCACTAAGGTCTTCCAACTTCACTGAGAACCACTGATAATTACTCTCTGGGAACAGTTTTCCAGTTAGGAACTCACCTAACGGTAGCTCCAGCTCGGATCTATTTCCCTAGTTTGTTTATGAGGTGTAAGACAGTACCAAAAGCCTTACTAAGTTCAATATGTAATACAGGCAGTCCCCGGGTTACGTACAAGATAGGGACTGTAGGTTTGTTCTTAAGTTGAATCTGTATGTAAGTCGGAACTGGCGTCCAGATTCAGCCGCTGCTGAAACTGACCAGCGCTGACTACAGGAAGCCAGAGGCAGAGTTGCTCTGCCCCAGGCGTCCCCAAGTCAGCCGCTGCTGAAACTGACCAGCGCTGACTACAGGAAGCCAGAGGCAGAGTTGCTCTGCCCCAGGCGTCCCCAAGTCAGCCGCTGCTGAAACTGACCAGCGCTGACTACAGGAAGCCAGAGGCAGAGTTGCTCTGCCCCAGGCGTCCCCAAGTCAGCCGCTGCTGAAACTGACCAGCGCTGACTACAGGAAGCCAGAGGCAGAGTTGCTCTGCCCCAGGCGTCCCCAAGTCAGCCGCTGCTGAAACTGACCAGCGCTGACTACAGGAAGCCAGAGGCAGAGTTGCTCTGCCCCAGGCGTCCCCAAGTCAGCCGCTGCTGAAACTGACCAGCGCTGACTACAGGAAGCCAGAGGCAGAGTTGCTCTGCCCCAGGCGTCCCCAAGTCAGCCGCTGCTGAAACTGACCAGCGCTGACTACAGGAAGCCAGAGGCAGAGTTGCTCTGCCCCAGGCGTCCCCAAGTCAGCCGCTGCTGAAACTGACCAGCGCTGACTACAGGAAGCCAGAGGCAGAGTTGCTCTGCCCCAGGCGTCCCCAAGTCAGCCGCTGCTGAAACTGACCAGCGCTGACTACAGGAAGCCAGAGGCAGAGTTGCTCTGCCCCAGGCTTCCTGGAATCAGCGCTCATCAGTTTCAGCAGCAGCTGACTTGGGGAAGCTTGGGGTTCTTAAGTTGAATCTGTATGTAAGTCAGAACTGGCGGGCAGTTTCAGCAGCGGCTGAATCTGGACGCCAGTTCCGACTTACATACAGATTCAACTTAAGAACAAACCTACAGTCCCTATCTTGTACGTAACCCGGGGACTGCCTGTACATCTTACTCTTGGTGGAATCCTGCTCCAAAAATGTGCCTCTGCATCAGACAAACCAATACAGGAAGAAGAGCAGTATCTCTTATGCATACCCCAGCCCCAGTCCAGGAGTGGGGCACACAGGTTCAGCCAAGGAGGATCCAAGTATGAAGGGACTTAGTAGAGGAATCCAGAAGTGGGATGACAGTGTTCTATATAGGGCAATCTGGGTGAGGTATCTCAGCAGGCAAGTACCTGGCGGCCTGTTTGCCAGAAACTTGGAATGACAAAGGATGCATCACCTAATGATTACCTGCTCTGTTCATTCCCTCTAAAATGGAGGTAGGCAAGAAAACACTGTCTGTTCACCTGGGTAAGCCCCTGGTGGGCCACTGCTGCTATATTTTTTCAGCACTTCTGCAGATATGGGTGATAGCAGCCCCCATGGCTGGGAACAGCGATCTGTACCCAACAGGAGCTGTGAACCCATGTACCTGTGGAAGTGCAAGTAATATAGCAGGGTGAGAGCCTGCCAGGGGCTAATTCTGGTAGACCAGATCTACCCCATGGGCCAGTATTTGCCCACCCCTGCTCTAAAGCATCTGGCATAGGCCACAATTGGAAGACAGAAGACCAAGCTAGATAGACCTTTGGTAGGGCCACGCCAAGTGCAGGGGCACCTTATTGAATTCCAGGAAGCAGACAGGCACCTAAAAGCCCCTCCCTCACTTTTGTGGGAGGAAGCCACTTGACCCAGGATACAAATAACCAAAGGAAATAAATAAGGAACCGGGCCAGGTGCGGGGAGCATGGGTTGAAAATTATGGACACAGAGGGGGACAACAGAGAATCCCAGACAGTGCCCACTGCTCAAAGTTCTCTGGAAAACCAGCAGATTGCCCCCCACCCCCAAGGAACTCTACCCAGATGTGTGAGAGAAGGGAGGAGTGGAAATAGGCCCAGTCACAAAGCACCTCCACATCTACCAGCCTTCTCCTGGTATTATAAATAGCTACTTTGGCCAGTTCCAGGAGGACACTGATGAAGTCTTATGACTTTGTAGATCACAGACAGGATATGCATAGAAGAAGAGGTGTAGGGTAAAATGCAGCCAGAATCTCAAGAGGCTCTGAAGGAGCCAGAAAAGGGGTTGCAACCTGGCATATTCCAGATGTGTGTGTGCCAGGCTTCCTCATGCTTCAGAATAGGCAGGCGTTAAGAGATTATGTAAACTCTGCCAAGTAAACACCAGTGCTCATGGCCCCATGAAGGAGCTATCAGCTTATATATCTGGCAGGCTCTGAGAACCCAGGGTAGAGTCCAGACTGGCTCAGCAGGTTCCCTCATCTTCCACAGGTAGTAGTAGGCCTCACCACTTGGTATCAGACTGTGACATGAGGATTACGAATTAAAACATGTGGCGCATGAGCATGTAAACTTGTTCCCTTGGTGCAGTTTGGAAGTGAGCTGCCTACAAGGCACACAGCCAGCTTGGGTTATGAAAAGGAGGAAGACATGGGAGAGCTTGCGGGGAAGAGGCCTGATCAAAAAGTCTGAAGATCCTGGGCTTAGGGAAGGATGAGGAGCATCATCTCACAGAAGATCTCAAGGAAAAACCAAGAGGTGTGTGATAAGAATACACCCCCTACCTCCTGGAGAACATGCAGGAGGGGAAGGGGTCTAAAGGGTGGAGAACACCATGCATTCATGGATTCCCCCAGGCTTCTCTGGTCATACTCTAGAAAATCTCCAATTCTGGTGGTTTCTGTTGGGACCATCCTCCAGCATACCAAATTGGATTCAGACTAGGGATGTTAAATATTGCTTAATTGAATAGTAGATTAACCTCATGAATTTTTATTGGTTACTCAACTATTCTATCGTACCAGGGGGCAGGAGCAGCAGCCAGTGTGCTCTGGCCCCACTCCTGGGGAGCTTCCTGCCATTCCACAATGCTGCCTCAGTATAAATATCAGCCAGTTTAAAAAACAGCTCCTCTCGCAGACCAGCTGCCTGCCACCCCATACTGCTGCCTCTGATGGAGGCAGCAGTGCAGGATGGCAGCAGCCCGTGTCCAGGGAAGGTCTGAGCTTCCAGCCCAAGTTGGAACTGAGCAGGTCTGCCTGCAGAGCAGCAGCAGAGGTAGGTCCTGGACACATCACAAGCAAGGACCGAGTCAGGTTGCTGGCTAGCCTGCTAAAAAAAATGTACTGGTGGGGGAAGAAGGGGAAAGTGCATGTAGTCTATAGCATTAACCTATAAGCTTTAGCGTATCAGTTAACTGACTACACTATTACATCCCTAATTCAGGCACCTGCACTCAAAGGTAGAGATAGTGTAGCAGGGTCTCCACAAAGAGGTCTGTCCTCTTTGTGACCACCATGAACCTAGGTAATGATAGTAGCTTTCTGGTCTAGAGGAGGTCATAGTAGACTAGGAGGTGGGGAAAATCTGTGTGCACAAAGGCTTACTGAGGGTTCCCAGTGCAGAGGGAATGGGACTCTGTCAAGGGGTCCAGGTGAAGATGATTGGGGCTCATTGGATGGTCTGGGTGATAGTAATTAGGAGACAGAGCATGGAAGGTTCAACAGATGCCAGTCCAGGGGTGGGAGAGTGGGGAAGGAGCCTGTGTACAGCTGGTTGAAGCTCAGTGGGGTAAGAGTCCAGGTGTGGAGGAGTTGTCATGGTGATACAAGTGAAGGGATGGGTCAATCACGTGGTGGGAAGTGTGAGGGCTGGGTTAAGTGCAGGGGTGGGAAGCTCAATGGAGGTCCTGAGCCATGGGGGTCTATTTGTACAGGCCTAGGGAGGGAGGTTCAATTGTGGCAGGTAAGGCTTGGCAGAAGAGCTAGATATGGGGAAGTCTGGATACATGGGCTACGTCTACACTGGCATAATTTTCCAGAAATGCTTTTAATGGAAAAGTTTTCCGTTAAAAGCATTTTCGGAAAAGAGCGTCTAGATTGACACGGACGCTTTTCCGCAAAAGCACTTTTTGCGTAAAAGCGTCCGTGGCCAATCTAGACGTGCTTTTCCGCAAAAAAGCCCCGAACGCCATTTTCGCAATCGGGGCTTTTTTGCAGAAATCAAATCTCAGCTGTCTACACTGCCCCTTTTGCGCAAAAGGGACTTTTGCCCGAACGGGAGCAGCATAGTATTTCCGCAAAAAGCACTGATTTCTTACACTAGGAAGTCAGTGCTTTTGCGGAAATTCAAGCGGCCAGTGTAGACAGCTGGCAAGTTTTTCCAGAAAAGCGACTGATTTTCCAGAAAAACTGGCCAGTCTAGACACAGCCATGGGTGTTGGGCAGATGGGGGAGATCAGCTCCCCATAAAACAAACTTTCCTCTAATGCCTAAAGAGTTTTGGGGGCAGAAAGTGGGGGTGCAGTTTCGTACAGTCAGGGACGTTTTCTGGGGGTGTGTCTAACCAGCTCCAGTCACTCCTTGCAAGGGAAGAAGAAGATGCCCAGCCAGAAGCAGCAGCTGATATTAGCAAAGGATAGGGTTGACTGGGTGGGGCACCCTCATCCCCCCATTCCCTCCCCCTCTCTAATCCCAAATAGTTATTTTTCTCTGTCCCAGGCACCTGAAATGACAAGTGGCCACTCTTGCAACTTCCCTTTGTTTCCCCATCAGAAGTCATATTTTTTTACAGGGAAGCAAAAAAATTTGAGGGATCCATGAATACTTTGTGCACAGAGTGATGCAGAATTCCTCCATGAGTAAACCATTAATTGTTTCGCCCCATGCAGAAACCTTGTTACACTGTCAAAGAAAGCTATTAGGTTGGTTTGTCAGGATTTGTTTTTGTCAAATCCATGTTGACTTAATTATTACCTTATTATCTTCTAGGTTCTGGGTACTGAAGTTAAACTGACAGGTCTGTAATCCTCCAGGGCTATTCTTAATCGGGTTTCTAGAGTCTAGCACTATATTTGCTCTCAGTCCTCCAGAATCTCTCCAGCCTTCCATAAATTTTCAAAAATAATAGCTATTGGCTCAGATATTTCTTCAGTCAGCATCTTGAGTATTTCAAGATATATTTCCACCAGGCCTTGCTGACTTGAAGTTATCTAACTTGTCTAAGAAATTTTTAACTTGTTCTTTCTCTAGCTTAGCCTCAACTCCTACTTCATTTTCATGTCAGTCACTATGTTAGATGTCCAATTGCCACTAATCTTTTTGGTGAAAAATGAAAAAAATCATTTAGCACATCAGCCATGTTTACATTTTCTGTTATTGGTTCTCCCTATTGTATAACAGGCCTATCCTGTCCGTGGTCTTCCTCTTGCATCTAATGCATTTCTAAAACATTTTCTTCTTCTTTATGCCACTAGCTAGTTTGATCTCATTGTGGCTTAGCTTAATTGTGTCCCTTCCTGCTTGTGGTGCTTTTTGTTTTTTAATACTCCGTCTTTATAATTTGATCTAATTTTCCTTTTTATAGGATTCTTTTTTGAGTTTCGGATCATTGAAAATTTCCTGGTTGGATCAAAGTGGTCTTCGGCCATAATTCCTATTTTTTCCGCAGTGAGATAGCTTGCTCACACCCCTAATAAGTTCTCTCTAAAAAACTGCTCACTCTTTCAAACTGTTTTCTCCTAGGCCACATCTAAACTTACTGTGCCAGAGATCAATCTTCTGGCATTTGATTTAGCAGGTCTAGTAAGGACTCGCTAAATCGAACGCTGAAGGCATCCCTGGTTGATACAGGTACTTTTTGATTCATGAGGAGTAAGGGCAGGGGTGCCCGCTGATGACGTCACGGGCGCCCACCAATGATGTCAGTCCATTAACTGCCCTGCAGGCGGGGGCACCGATCGCATGCTCTGTCTGGGGCGCCAGCTGCCGCAGCCGGCCTCAGACCGCTCCTGAGTAAGGGAAGTCTCAACAGGAGCATTTGTTCCCATTGATCTCTCACTGCAGAAGCAGCGCCAAAATCAGGTTACAGTATGTCAACTCTAACTATGTTATTTACGTAGCTAGAGTTGCACACTTTAAGCTAACCTTCTGAGTCTTGTATAGACCTAGCCTTACACTTGCTGCCAATGGGATCTTACCTACCAACTCAAGTTTACTGAAGTCTGCCTTCTTGAAATCCATTTTCTTTATTCTGCTGTCTTCCCTCCTATTCCTTAGATTAATAAATGCATCATTTCCTAGCTATCATTACAATCATGCAGGAGGTTTTTTTAATATAACTTACAAAATACTAATGAAAGCAGAGAATGAGTTAGGTCTCCTTTGTCTAAAGATTGGACATGATTAGTCTTGAGAAAAGGAAACAGAAGGGACCTGAAAATAGTCTTCCAATATGTTAAAGGCTGTTAGTAACAGGATTAGGTTCAACTGGTTTCCATGTCCACTGAAGGCAGGACAATAAGTAAAGGGCTTAATCTGCAGCAAGAGAGAACAGGGTTAGATATCAGAATGTTTTTCTAACTGGAACAGTAATTAAGTTCTCATCCCAGGGAACTTCTATAACACCCACCTTTGGAGGCATTTAAAAGCAGGCAGGGATGGTTTAGGTTAACTCGCCTGAGGGGGAGGGGATGAGCTAGAACACTTCACAAGACCCCTATAGCCAGGGTCCTTCATTCAATGGAATCTGTTCCCAGCGCGCACTCAGAGAGCAGACTCTCATCTCCACCTCCTTCAGTAGGTGCCCCCCTCGCTCGCGGTGGGGAGGGTCTCGCCCCCTCCGCTCATGGAGGCGAGTTCCGATCCCAAGACATCCCGGCGGCAGGGAAGCGTCTTCCCCGCGCTGTCGCGGATGCCGGGGCGCCGCAATAAACTCCCCCACCCACATCAGCCTGGGCCGAGGGGGGGAGGGAAGCGTTCTAGCTTGTCAGGGGCCAGCATGCAGCGCCCTGTCACCGGCTCCGCCCGGGAACGGGGGGGAAGCGAAGCGAGGCAGCCTGGCACCTACCTCACCACCAGCCCTACGCCGCCCCTAAACGCAGCGGGGACAGCACAGAGGAGACCCGGCCTCCTCCTCAGCCAGACCCCGTGTCTTCCACAGCTGCCGCCATTTTGAAAACGGGGGGAGGGAGAGGAGGAGCGGCTT